TGCCTGTGATTCTATGATTTTAATTCATCTTAATATCACAGAGGTGACCCCTCCTTCCACATCTTTGCTTCTTGTTCACACCTTTGTGAAGGTTCGAGTTACTAAATCGGATTACTAAATACAGTAGCTAACTTGCAGCAATTACTAATGTGGAACATCTGGTAACACAAATCTAAATTACCATTTGCTCCTACACACATTCTGACCTCCAGAACAATATTTTGTCCTTGCTGTTATTTTATCAGCTAAGGGTTTTTCTGTTACAGCAAAAAAACCTCCTTGAAATCAAAATACGTGAAACCGCTCTAGTCCAACATAATTATTATATTTTTCATTTTCACTTCTCCAGTAACTGCAGTGGTTTCACACTCCTACACACTTTTGTAAAAGGTGTTATGGTGATGTATTTCACATGGTGTATTTTTCTGTATGCCTCTGTTAGCACTTTTTTTTGTGCCCCTTGTATAGTTAAATGTGCCCATGAGTGACCAGTTTGGAGTATCTAGTCAAGGAACAGCTGAGATTTTTCTTGCAGATTCACTTTTTTCTCACAGCTTGACTTCACTTATTTGTCTGTGAACTAACTGCTTACTGTGTAATTTCACTTGTCACATTTTTCATCTGTTCTTGTAATTTTGCTGCTTCCTGCACTCCACATTCACTGGGGTGAAAACTTTGCTGGTGCTGTTTGCCAGCCTTGTTTATCCTCCACACTCCACTGCTGCGCTAAAAAGAGCTCTGTCTCTGCTAAAGCACCTGAGAAGGCTCAGATTTTCAAATTGCTTAATCGACTGAACATTAATATTGCTCATTGGAAGAGGTATGAGCTTGAGTTTGCAGTCGGCTGTTACTGGTGGACAGAAGGAGAACTCCACTTTCACATGTGATTATTTTTTGTTATTTTATTTGTGACTGAGTTTCCAGGTCGCCTATTGTTGAGACAAAGTAAAATGCATGAAAGTGTGCAATATCCTCTCAGCAGCTCTAAAAAGGAGCATATTCTTGAATATCAGAGCAGTGATACAGTAAATTGCCTCTTTATTTATTACAAGATTGCATGCAGAGGAGATAACAACGGAGCTAACGAGACTGTGCATATATATGGGTTACATTAGTAACGAGAAACAGCTACGCCAATTAACTCTGATCCCTAATGAAATTAAATTCATGCAGTAAAAGACATTTACAATAAAGTCAATACAAACCCAAAGTACATCAGTTTCTAATTACTTCACTATGGCGGGGTGACATAAACAATATCATGATTATATATTATCATGGAACAGTAATCATCGACAGGAAGGAAGGGGGACTTAGTGTTGGGAGGCTGAGGTTGTTCCAGTTTCCACCAAAGAAAACAATAGCTTCCTTCCCTCACCCCTTCCTCTCCTCCAGACACACAGGCTGGTAAATTAGTGAACTGTTACTTCTCACTTTTTAAATTAATTTTGAGAAAATAACTTGATACATTATTTTGCACATGTAAATTCCTTAAAAGCAATGTAAGCTCAAAATGTAAGCTTGAGGAAAAGACATTAAGCAGCATTTTTCCCGTTGAGCTCACAATTATTTTCACAATTGAGACAACAGTGACAAAGGACTGTTGATGTTTCCATTTTGCTGTAACATTTCGGTCAGCTTGCTTGCTGGTCCATCTTGGGGCCAGTGACATCATTTCCATTGTTGCCAGCTGGATGTTGACTTAGCCATGCCTTCTCCCCTTAGATGTCAACCTGTGTCGTTCTCCCTAGCCAGCCTGGTCTGTCCATGCTCCTTCATCCTGCTCATGAAAACAGAGGTCACCTGTGGAGTCTGGGGTAGCTAGTGGGCTTGGGTGGCAAAAGGCTATGTATCTATATAGTCTGTGTGGGTGGAGGCTTCTGAGATTGTGGGTGAATTTCATCTGACAGAGACCACGGTGCAGCCCCTGTTGCAGCCTCAGCTCTAGTGGCGGTACCAGTGGGGTCCTCTGGAGCTTCATGAGCTGTGGGGACAGGTGATGCAGGAGGGGCAGTCAGCATAGAGACCAGGTCCTCCTCAGTCATTAATCAGTTAATGATATCCAATGGAAGAGAGGTTGAGGTGAGACCACACCTGGGATCTGCTCCAAACAGAGCTGAACATGGTGCGCAGTTTATTCCCAAGTGGTGAGCTGAATTCTTAGCACTCTGCGCAATGCATATTCCCGTAGACCAGTCACACAAATTATTGTCTACCATCTGCTCCATGAGCACCTCCTTCATACTGCTGTTTGGATGCTCTGCCAGGTCTTGGCTTTGAGAGTGTTCCAGTTTTCCATGCACCAAACTGAGCTGAGGCCGCAAATAATTTAGTTCTTGCATGACATGAGTGATGAATCCTGTTCCATCATGACCCTGCAATAAAACAGGGGCTCCAAAAGTGAGAAAGGTGTCAAGAAGCTGTAGAGCCGCCTCACCTCAGCTGCTTTTTTTTGACATAAGTGGATGGAGAACACAAAATTCGGTGATGCAGTCCTGGTACACCATTATCCACTCCAAGCTGCCGAGACACATGGGCTGCATATGGACAAAGTCAATTCGCCCCGTGCCAAGTGCTCCTTGTTTAGAACAGACCAGCCAGCAAAGTGTTCCAAGTGGTGCCTTCTTTTTTCTTGGCACACTGCACAGAAGGATGTGAAGTGCTCAACAGCATCTCTGGTGATGTTTGCATACTTAGATGACAAGTGTTTCCTGACATGGTCATGGCTACCATGCCCATTAGCCACATATGCTTTTTTGATGATATCATATGTATCCTTGATGCTTACATAATATGGGGGCAATTCCCCTTTCATCTACCTCCTCTTAATCAGCTTCTCAGAGCATCGTGTTGTAGAACTTCATATCTGAAATGAGGGAAATAGGGAGCAGTTATTAGCAATAAAGCTGTGTATCTATATGGGGAAAGCAGTGATGTATAAGCTTGGAGTTAAAAAAAACAGAAAGAGCAGGTTCTCCATACTTACTTTGTAAGCAGATAGTATTCTCGTATTGACTTTGACTTGGGATTCTGTTTTGTCCTCTTTATTTCAGCAATAGTTGCACAATACTCCGCCTTTGGCTTCATGTACTTGGAGTATTTCTTATACTTTTTATATAGTTCTTCTCTAAATTTCACTTCAAAGTCCTGAGGCGTCTTCAGGAATGATTACTTAGCAGGTACAGAAACCTGATTCAACTCCCTCCTTTTACGTACAACTGCTCTTGCACCAATTTCTGACATATGCTACAGTCATACTGTGAAATCACTCATTTTGTAAAATGACTAAAATCTTCAGCCATTTCTCAAAATGACTTCCAGTTATTGTGCAAAATGTCAGAAGGAGGCAGCTATTATGCGAAATATCTAATATCTAGCTTTTTGAACTTACTACCTTAAAAGACAACAAAAGAGCTGTTTTATTTTATTTCCCAAACTGTTCAAAACCACACAGTATATCTCAGAGGGAACTTTATGTTACGTTTTCTAAAATAAAGATATGTGAGGTCAGCTTTACTTGGTAAGGTTTGCATCTGGTTTTAATTCTTTGTCCCATCGGGTTGATATTTGAAACGCTTGGCCTTCCCCACTAGAACCATAGTGACAATAGTTCACATTTTGTGAAATGTTAGAAAGCAGCCAGCATTTCAGGTGACAATCAAGTAAAGAATGCAGACCAGTGGTGTAATAAAATGGCCATTATTTTCTGAAATGCCTAAAACCAGTATTTCTAAGTGGCTGAAACACTTATTTCATAAAAGAACTGCAAATTTGCCATGTTTTGTTGTGTTGTGTTTTTTTTTTTCCAAAATAGTTGCTTTCACAATATCATCATAATATATACAGATTGACTGCTGTTTGGGTTTAAACTTCTGAAGGCCAGTTTACTGTAGAGGTAGTTTAATTCTTGCAAACGGAATTATTTTGCTGAATTTTTCCTCCTCTCTGGTGAAATTCAGTTCTGTCTTCAGAGATAGCAACTGACAATGCCTCACTGAGATATAATAAACTTTTTAGTTACCCAGGTTTATTAGCTTTTTCCATCTCTCCAATCCAAGAAGTAATCCATTTTCATTTTTTCTACCAGTATAGAGTACTAAATGTATAGATTTGATTTCAAGATAAAGATAGTGTGAGTAATTAGCTAAAACTTCAGAATTACACAAAATCAACATAAGATTGAAAAAAACATCGTTACCTTGGAGACCTAAAATATTCGACTTTTTAAGAGGAAACAACTGCTGTTTGAATGATCTAAATAAAATCATCCTCACTGTTAAATATTTTTTTTTTTAATTTAACAATTCTGTAAATAAAAATACAGGCTTTTGCTTGGACTTAAAATGTTCATTTCAGCAACAATGTAATTTTTGTTGTTAGAGACCTTTTCATAAGGTGGAAAAGAGAACAAAAGTTTTTTCTGCTACAGTGATACCATCTGCAAAAGGTGGTTCTGAGAAAATATTTTAAGAAATAACTATTTGTTGCTGGTTGGTTTTTAAAGAGTTGGTTTAATTGTTCAAGTTGCTTAGAAAGTTACACTTGTCTTTACAGTGAAGGAACAGACCTACTCAGGAGGAACAACGGCTTCCCTGATATCTTCTGAGAGCTTGTGGGGAATAAATAAGAAATGTATGTGGAAAATGATGTGGAACTTTACATTTTAAAAAATCTATACCTTATTCCATAAAAGACTGCTTTTCTATTTGTGTTTCTACATACTTCGCAAATTCTCTTGACTTTCCTCCTAGTGCCTTTGGCTTCACAAACCTCGATGCAAAACCAGTAAGGCAGAAGAGCCCATGCCCTTTTCTTCTTCTGATCCAGGTGCATCCGCAACTCACTAGGTAGCACCACGAGTAAATCCCAGAGGTGACCTTCCAGGTTGCCAGCGGAGACATTGGAGGTGGCTCACCCTGTTCTTTTGAGGAGTAGGTGTGCGGAGCTGTGTGTCGTGCTGTTTCCAGGACTGCTTCCTCCTGACTTGCAGGAGGTCGATGCTAGCAGCAAGGCAACCTGCCACGGAGCATGCCCACCTTCTGCTTGAAGAGTCGGCTTCCACTCAGCACGAACGACAGCAGGTCCAGGCAGCTGAGGGCAGTCAGACTCAAAAAAACTTCATTATAGCTTTCCAACTGGCCAAAGTCGCTCACGTGCTGTATGTAGTAGGCCCTGAAGAGGTGATAGGGAAGGAAGCAAATTATGATGACGCAGATGAAAATCAAGTTTTTCACCTGGGCCCAGAACTCTTGGTGTGACCAGAGGGAGGTGGAAAACTTTCTTGCCACTTTTACCAGGATGAACATCTGCAGGCCCAAGAAGACACAAGTAGTGCCGGCGACAGCTGCAATTATGGTGTAGTTTAGGGCTTTCACGCTGTCCTGCTGTAGTTCTTCATGGAACTTAAAGCACGTTGTATCGTTGTATGAGCCCGAACGTCCATACTCAAAGTACAAGACTGGCACCACAAAGACCATGACAAAGACCCACACGGCAGCACTTGCCGCAATGGCGTGCAGCTTCCGGTAAAACTCCACCTTGTCCTTCCATTGAAAGAAGATGAGCCACCGGATCACCAGTGTGATCACGTAGAACAGGAAGGTTAGGTACATGTGGATGTGCACCATTGCACTCACCACTTTGCAAAACGGCATCTTGAATACCCACTGCTTGTTGACGTAGTAGTGCAGGCGGAAGGGCACCGTGAAGAGGAGGAGGCTGTGCACAACGACCAGGTTAATAATGGCTGTAGTGGTCACGGACAGAGTGTTCATCTTGACCAACACAAATGACATTGCGAGGGACCCGATCCCACCTCCAGCAAAGGCAACTGAGTAGACAGTAATCAGTATGGTGCTCGTGGTGTTGGTGTGAGTGAAGGCTGTGAGTGAGTCACTGCTGGTCCTGTTGTCTTCAATCATCTTCCTAAAATCTTCCTTGTACATTTTCTAGAATTGAAAGAAGAATACATAAAGACTAAGATAAGGCAGGAATGAGAGGGCTTACCTGAAAAGCCAGCAGAGCTTTCCACCTGGATCTTGCTTGAGGGATAATCCTGGAATTTCACAGCTGGCACAAGCTGTAACAAGTAGTTTTATCAAAATGTCCTCCGGCCTAGAGAAAAATGGCTGAGAATGTTGGGCAGAGAAGCTGCTCTAGTCCTTAAGATGTTACTAGCCATTCCCTTAAAAAAAAGCACAAGTGAGCAGCATGTGGGAAGAAGAGATCCTTAGAGAAATGACATGATCGTGGTGGTTTTGAGCTCTTTGTGTTACTAGTTCTCCTTTTTTTCTGAGCATCCGCATGCTTTTGCAGTGAAGATCAGAGATACTGTTCGAATTCTGCTCCTTGGTTTGCTTACTTGCAACACAAATCTGCCCTTCCCACCGCCAGATAATAACCATATGTTGCTCTACCAAAGCTACAAATTTTGTTACCCAGGGCTGAGTTTTGCACACATTACAGTCGAATCCTTCTCCTCCATAGGCAGTTTATCTGAGTAAGGGATTAAACACCATGGATACCCAGGTCCATGGAGATCCTGCTCAGATCCTGCCAGACCAAGTAGGGTGGGCAGGGTTGTCCTCGTGCTCAGGGCCATTTCACAGCTAATATGTGGTAACTGGGTGTTACAAAATGGGCTGTTAGCAAATGTTGGGAAAGGACATCCTAGGTTAGAGCAAATATGCCTGGCTGGCCTGAGCTGAGACTAGACGAAAATTAATAGCAAGGTTAACAAGTATGCTATGCATTTTTAATATATTCCTCTTTCGAAGAGAGATTATAATTCTTATAATTCTAAGTGGAACTTCTGGTAGGATTTTGAAGTCTTACAAAGGGGAGGGGAAGACTTGAGGTGGAGTGTTATCCCGAAGCATGTTTGCATCTATGAAAGGTATGGAAAGAATGTCCACACTACAGTCATGGAGAAGTGGGGAAAACTGAATGGTGCTGGGCTCTGTACTATCCCAGTTATATATACTACTGCCCCAGCTATGATTTAAAATTGACTCTGGTATGTCATCCATTTCACCAGTGAATCCCACCACACAAGAGGGGTTTTTTGCCTCTTGAATGAGTTTTTGCAATCTTTTTTTTTAATACTGCAATGTTGTTAACTTCACACTGTAGTTCCTGGATCTCTGTCTATGACTGGTGTTTCAGGTTATTCTCATTTTTAGGTAGCACGTACTGCCAGAATTTGGGAGGGAAAAAAAGGTATTTAGCAGTTTTCTGTTTTGTGGAAAAGAGGAAGTACCTATAACGGTTTTATAAACTGGTTTTACTCGCAGTGGGGAATGAATACCTGTGATAACTGTCAGATATTTTTTCTTGTTTCTTAGCAATATTTCTAAACATTTGCCCCTGTAGTAATCCAGACCTCTTTATACATTGAAAAGTCAGTTATCCTCCAGCTATCCCAACACATCTAAGTCTCCAGATATTTTATTGTAATCAACACAAACATAAATGCCATACCTCAAACTGATGTGTTTGTTGTTGGCACATACCGACCTTTTCCGTTTGAAACTGCATTTCGGAGTTAGGTGTACAACTAATTCCAGTGCATTGTGAGAGGTAAAATGGGTTGCGAAATGAAAGAGCTTTTTCTCAAAGGCACCGCTGATTGGCACACTGCAGCTTTTGCATCAGAAACCATGCAAGTTCCTTCCAGTTCTGTTCTGGTTTCTGAGACGTTGTGTTTCAGCCTCACAACCGTGGCAGGCAGAAGGGGTTAGCAATAGCTCTTCACCAGCTTCTCCAAGTTGTTGAGTTCAAAAATTTGGCTCTCAAAAGTGGCATTAGCACACTGTTTTAATCTAAAATGCATATTTAAAGTTTTTAAAGTGCCGTGGCGCTAAAGGCAACCCGCTGGAAACAGGGTGATGTGAGCAGCCCCAGCAGCGAGGCTGTGCTTGGAGAGGAAGGAGCCGTCGCAGCCACCCTCCGGAGCCCGGCGCTGAACGCAAATCAAAGCCAGTAAGGAACAGATAAGCAGAAGTCAGATAACTTGGCATTTTCCTCAGATGGTCCTATTAAGGGGACAGCTGAAGACCTATTTCTGTCTGCAAATAAGCAACGCAGGCTTCTGCAGAACTTGTCGGTCATCGCTAAATCCCTTCAGTGTAAGATTCTGCAGGAAAACTCATTTTTATTAATCTTTTGGGGGAAAAAAAAAAGCTACCGGCAGCTGTGATATGAGATTATCAGCTCCCCACTACTCCGTGCATCCCACTGAAATATCACTGTGTGAAAAATACAGAGTATAGCATGACACAGGGTACGTTTCACAGAGGAAATGCTGCTTTCTGGTGAAATGAGGTTTCCTATCGGGCTAACAATCCACATAGCTATAACCTACTGACCTGAAATACAACAAACGAGCCTTTTGGCCTGAATTTAACAGGAAGCACATGGAATAAGAGTGAATGTAAGGTCTTATAAGAGAATAATTAATAATGTAACATAGACTATACACTGAACCTAACTGGAAACGTGAGCTATAGAAGTCTCCAAGAGCTGGAAAATATCTCACAGAAGAGGAGGAACAACAGAAGAGACCACTGAAAGTGGTATCAAGCTGTCTAAGAAATGGTCTTCCTCCATGCTGTTTAGTCCCTTGCCAACATCAGTTGATGTAAGCTCTTTCCAGCTGCAACAGCATTGCTTCAGGGCTGAATCTAGCTCACTTAAAACTAGGATTTTTAACTGTCTTGTGTTTTTCACAGTGGCTGTACCACAGAGTTACAGTTCAGTCTCATCTCTTCTTCCCTCCTCCCCACACACCTCCTGGCCCCAAACAATGTCTGAAACACCAAGGAGCTACTTCAGAATGGTACTTTGCAGCTCTGCCTCACCTGAGTGGCTTCCCTTCATGCTCACTAATGTTAGCTCTTGACACCCGTAAGAACAGAAGCAGCTCAGAGAGGACTTACCCCATCCCGAGTCCCAAGGCAGAGAGTTTCTCCTCAAGGAGGTATTCTTGTTTCCATGCCTTCCTACCCCCTCTAGCTACTGCCAGTTCAGTGATATTGCTCAAGTTTTGGAGGAAGGTTTAGTCTTCCTCTGCGTTAAGCCTCTCATCACTTGGCTAAACTTCTGCCGGACATGTGCTGTGAGAAGCCACGAGGCAATGATGGGCAACCACTTCATTTGAATGCCATAGCAGTCAAAGAGAGATCCACTGGTGCCAAGAGCTTGGGGTCAATTCCCCAAATGGCTGTATTAGTTTAACAAAGGAGGTAGATTGCCAAGAGGCCAAATGCTGGGCTCTTTCAGAAATATAATCAGCAAAAAGACTCTTGTGCATTTGAGATTCATCAGTTATCGGTGTGGGTAAGGCCATTACATTCATTTCCTGTGACTTTCTGCACAGCAAAGTCCATGGGACTTCCCTGAACTGCTCTCTTCAGGCCAGAGCACGTCATGTACAAAAATGGTTTGGTCTGTCAAAATTTTCACGGTAAAAGAATATTCATTCCAACTTTCAGAAACTTGCTTCTCTTTTATCTTACTGTTAATTATCCTACTGTTCAAGAAAAAAGAATAGATGAATCATATTTCTAGACAGAATTTGTACAACCTCAGCTTCTAGGCATAGTATGTGCTTCCTGCTTTGCCTTCAGATTTAAAAACCCTTTGTCAAATTTTGGCTTTCCCTATAGGTACTTGAAGATAAGTAGAGATAAGAGACACAAGACACTTATTTTCTCTTCATAGAAACATAGAATGATTTGGGTTAGAAGGGACCTTAAAGATCACCTAGTTCCAACCCCCCTGCCATGGGCAGGGACACCCTCCACTACATCAGGTTGCTCAAAGTCTCATCCAACCTGGCCTTGAACACTTCCAGGGATGGGGCATCCACAACTTCTCTGGGCAACCTGTTCCAGTGCCTCACCACCCTCATTGTGAAAAATTTCTTCCTTATATCTAATCTAAATCTCCCCTCTTTCAGTCCGCCATACTTGTGAATCCTCACTGAACTTCCTCCATCAGCAACGTGCTCCTGTTTGGTTCTTAGATGAACAACTTTGCATTTGGCAGTGGTGAGATGCATGTTGCACGTGCCTTAGCAATCCAGATCAGCCTGTCACTGCCTTGTTCCCTTCCTTGCTTTCTATTTTCCCCACCAGGTTCATCAGTCACCATTATGTTACATCAGCATTATATCAACTTATTAAAAAACCCAAAAAAGCTCATTTGTCAAAACCGATGACAATCTTACAGTTTCTGCCAAACAGTGAGTTCTACTCTCTACATAACAAATGTTTGCAAAATTTATCCCTGTGTACGTCTGCTTAGGGACTGGAAGGCTTCACACAGATTTTCGTGTGTTCTGACAGTTGGGTTCTGCAGAAGAAGTGTTTGCAGTCTGTATGCACCCAACTGAGAAGTTTCATTTGAATTTGCAGGGGAAAAAAGTTCGCTTCAAATGAAATATTTCTATTTTTGGCAGATTTAATAGAATGGAAAAATGAACGTTTACCAGATCTGACACTTCTGCATTGAACTAGACTAGGTTGGAGGCAGTGCAAAATACAAGTATTATTTAACCAAAGTCTGTTTAAAATGTGCATTTGTTTCACAAACATCGTAATTTAGTCTCAGAGATGCTTTCTGTTGAGAGCATTGTAATTGCTTTTCGATTTGCTCTAATTTCATGCTGTGTTATGGTAATGTAGGCTACGCCACTAGAATAATTGCAGAATTCGCTTCATTTCAAAATAACCACACACCTAAAGCTTGAAGTATAAATGTCTGCTTAAGGAAAACATTGCAAACTAAAAAAAAAAAAAAGTGAAATATCAAATGTGTGTTTACATTTAGATATTGACTTTTTTCAAACAATTTTTAGTGATTCCTCTAACTCATTCACTAGCTCATTGATTGGTGTCTTGCAGGGTGTGTCATCATTATACTGATACCTTTTAGTTTAAATCCACTCTACTGAAGAATAAATGGAATGGAAAACATGTTGAGTTAGTTCTCTTTTGTTTGAGATTTTTGCTGTTTTTACACAAAAATGGAAACCATGGAACCTTCCTAAAAATAATGATTTACCGTCTT